AGGTAAGGCTAAAAATCCACTGGTCCTGCCAAATCAGTCTCCATCGTGATGCCGCCGTCAGCTGCTTTGAATGGATGCAACACCGTCAGTGTCTTTTGCCAGATGTGGTCAACATTGATACCCAACTCTTCTCATAAAGGTGGCTCAGCCTCAAAGTTGTTTCTGTAGAAGGACTGAGGTGTGGTTGGGGTGGATGCCTGAGCGGGCTGGGAAATCTGCCCAGTGTACGGCCGCTGTGCCGTATTGTCTCTGGGGGCACACATCGGCCGTGCTGTGAGTCGTCATAGCCACCATGCTGTTTGCTATAGGGCCCTCCACTTCCACCATCATGGCAGGACTGCTGTGATTGGTCGTCGATGCTGTAACTCATCTGGCAGAAATCCGTGTTGATATTGTTGAAGCCTGACATTGCAAAGGATCAAGTGTGGCGGCAGCGGGGGCAGCGGCTCCAGAAGCCCAGACACACACAAATCCACTTGTGGACGCCACACAGTCCTGTTGCTACGTGTCACCTATCCCTTGTTTTTCTATGATTAACTGTGCCCTCCTTTTTCATTGACTTATGTTGCAAATCAACGACCCAAGAAACTGATGCCTTTGTGTGTGTGTGGGCGGGGGAACCAGCCTCTCACACTATCACGGGTCCGGTAGGCGCACTTGTGCAGTTATGATATATAAAGATGACAGTAAAGTCAGAGAATAAGAGAGAGGAGAAGATAAAATAAAGGAGTCAGACACATTTCAAAGTAGCATGCTCACCTCCAGGGCGGCCATGATCTCACAAGCCAGGTCCGAGCACAGCCCAGTGGAGAGGGGAGAAGAGAGAGTGATTTATTGCTAACCAAGGCTTATATATCTTTGGGGGGCATGTAAGCCCCCTGATTACAGGTAAAGACATATGTCATAGGAAGGGGTGATACTATAGGTAATACAGTAATGGGAGGGGAATGATCTAGGGGTGTACACGCTACAGGAAGAGGAGGGATTAAGGGTACACATGTGACAAGATGGGCAGATCCTAGATTCATGATGGTGCCTACCCTTGATTGTCCTTGAGCTGCAGACTTGATTTAAGCCAGGGGTCCTCAAACTTTTTAAACAGGGGCCAGTTCACTGTCCCTCAGACTCATTGGAGGGCCGGACTATAGTTAAAAAACAAAACAAACTATGAACAAATTCCTATGCACAATGCACATATCTTATTTTGAAATAAAAAACAAATGGGGCAAAAACACCCGGCGGGCCAGATAAATGTTCTGGGGGGGGGGGGGGCGCAGTTTAAGGACACCTAAGCTCTCCAGGCAAACGATCACTATCTTATCAATAGGATGTGAGCTGGACAGACACTAGGGTCTGCTTGCTCTGGATGGCTGGTGCCTTCAGGGAGATCACTGGACAATCATTTACCATCGTTATCAGCAGTGTCCTACATAATTTGGGGGAGAGCAGCTGGGGAAAGGTCTTTTTCTATCTCACATCTTCCAATGGATGGTTCGGGGGAAGAATGTCTTGGGAAGTAGCCAGCCAGAATGGGCCTTCGAAGGGAAGATGGCAGGACTTCATCCAACCCACCTTGGGCTGCCATCAAGAAGGACCAGTCCCTGGAGAGGACATCTTTGGGAAAGGGTCCACAGAGAAAAGGGAGACCCTTCGTGAACGCGGATGCACAAAGGTTTCAAAGGAGCCGACTGTGAGGATGGGGCGAGGGCTTGAAGTGCTTTGTTGTTGTACTTTGGGGTCACTGCGTTAGAACCTACTTGGTGGCCCTTAACCACGGCTGAGGCTGAGTGGACTCTGACATATGCCTGGGGGTTGTTAGCATATCCCAATGGGCTGTGGCTGGCATCACGTGATGGGCCAGCCTGCACGCTGCTGTCACCCAAGGAGAAGGTGGCAACATCTTCACACACAGCCTACTTACATCCGTGCTGGGCAGAGCATGTCTGGGGGCGAGTAGCCAGTGGGGTGTTGTGCTGGTTCATTTATTCGTATCTCAGTCCCAAACTCACCTGCCATCTTCTGTGGGGATTCTGCTGGTGGAAACGACATCTCCCAGACTTCCTTCCCAGCTGGCTTCCTAGGAAGTTCCCCCTGCCTAGGGCAGCCAACCCAGGGGGGCTGGCTGGTTAACACTAGCAGACGTCTTGCCGCAGCAGGCACCATGTTTGCACCCACCTCTCAGCACTGACCCGCTTGACGTCTGCTCCCATGCAGTGTAACTCCAGGCACCGGCCTCAGGGGACGCCTCCCTCCAAGAGCTTTCCCAGGTGACTCCCACCAATTCCTTGCAGGCGCAGTGGTTACGTGTTGGGCTGCCACCCACAGGTCAGCAGTTCGAAACCATCAGTGAGTTCTTGGGAGAAAGGTGACCCTTTCTGCTCTTGTCAAGAGTTCCCATCTTGGACACTCGGGGGGCGGCTCTCCCTTGTTCTAAGGACTCGCTGTACATCAGCCTTGTCTTGATGCAGTGGGCCCACCTGGAGCCTTCTGTTGGGTCAGGGTTGGCCTGCGTTGGGCACTGGAGCATGAAGCGAGGCCGAGTGTGCGTGCTTTCTGGGGGATGAGTAGCCAGTGGGGCTCCTTGGCTCTGGCCTAAGAGGCCGACTCCCTCCAGAGCAGTGTTTCTTAGTGGGTGACCCTGTCCCCTGCAGAGTGCTCGAATGCTCCAACCTCCACCCCCCACCCCCCAAACCAAGCAAACCCCAAACTCACTGCCACTCTACAGGACAGGGTAGAACTGCCCTGTGGTTTTCGAAGACTTAACTCTACCGGCGCAGAAAGCCTCCTCTTTCTCCTGTGGAGCTGTAAGTGGTTTCAAACAAATGACCTGTGGCTAGCAGCCAACCACCGGCCTCTGCAGGGCTTGAGCGGATGCCTAGCTTTCACCCTGGATGATGGGCTACAGTACACATGTCCAGTCACAAGAGGGCGCTAATGTCTCTTCTGGAAAGGGGACAGGCAGTAGGCCAAAGTTCGGAACCTATGCTCCAGGGCAGGGATGGGTCTGTCTGGCTCATGGGCGGTGTACCACCTAACAGCACACACCAGGCCAGGAAAGCTCCTGCCATCAAGCCAGTGCTGGCTTGTAGCGCTCCCCTGGGGGTTTCCGGTTTCCGAGACCGTAACTAGAAAGCCCAGTCTTTTCCTCAAGGAGCTGCTGGTGGTTTTGAACTGTCGACCATCCGGATACTGCTCCCCCGCCAGGGCTCTGTCGCCATCCCATGAAGGCTGTTAATGAAAGGTTTCACCAGTGTGGCTTGAGGATGAGGTTATAGCCAATGGCCCTTGCCAGAAAGGCTCCCCAGCCCTGATGTGGGGGAAGACTGACCACCGTGTTGTGAGGACACTCAAGCCATCCTGGGATGGGACCCAGGACCCCTCCCACAGCCAGGTCCAATGTGCCAGCAAGGTGAGGTAGCCGCGTGGAGGGGTCGCAGGGAGTGGACGCTTGATTGCCATCTCTGGGGAGACCCCAAACCCCAACTGCCATCCAGGCTTCTTCCTGATTCCCGACCGCCAGAAAGCGGCAGAGATGAGGACCACTGGTCTGCCACCAAACTTAGAGGCCAGCTGTTGGGCACGGAAGGGAATGGAAACCACAGGAGCCTGGCTTATGCACGGGCGGCAATCCGCAAGGACGAAGTTTGAAAGCCACCAGCTGCTCCCGGGAGAAAGCTCAGGCTTTTTGCTCCTGTAGCCTCTCGGACACCCCAGGGGCGGTTCGGCCTTGTCCTACAGGCTCCGATGAGTCAGCCTGGGCTTGAGGGCCCGGAGTTTAGTTTGCTGTTGCAGCACGAGGGTGGGAGAGCTTTACTGGAGTTAACAAAAACCTTGCCCTTGTCCTGACTGGCTACCGCCCTGCCCAGCGCTGGACTCAGCTCCAGGCGCTCTCAGGCTGTCTCCATCTCCCCAAGCACGGACCCCGCCCCTGCTCCCCTCCCAGTGTGGGGTCTCCCCAGGATGACTCGGGGTCCGGGTGGGGCATACAGAAGGTGTTTATTGTTCTGCGTCTGGATTTTGTTCCTTAGGCTTCCCCAGGCCTGGCTAGAGGTGAGGGGGCCTCTCCCCGCTCCCTCCCTGCGTCAGGGCCCTGAGGGTGGTCTTCCTGATGGTTCTCCAGGTTCAAAGTGCTCTGAGATCGCTCTTCACAGTCTTAATACTTCTGAGATGCTAAACCGAGGCAAAGTGACAGGATGGCCCAACCCCGCCCCGCCCCCACCCGCCAAAAAATAAAATAAAAATAAAACCCCAAGCCCCTGGCAGCTGCTGCTGCAGCCATATGAAAAAATAATACAAACTCTTCTTAAAAAATAGATTACACAGAAGGGACCCAGAGGAGGGAGGGGTGGGAGGTGACCTGGGAGGGGGCGCAGAGATGAACTCGAGGGGGGAGGGGCTGGACGCTGGTGGACACAGGACTCGTCTGCTCTGCCCACCTGCCCTGCGCCCCGGGTTGTTCCCCCCCAGTGTGGGCTCGTGGACCAGGCGACCACGTCCTCCCACCAAACACACCCAAGGGCCCCCCTCTCTTCACCCCAGGTCTGGTACCTACTTCTCACTAAAGTGGCTTCAAGAACAAAATGAAAAAGGCCCCGAGGAAGAGGAGGGACGGCCTCCAGAGGGGACCTCCGCCCAGGCTGACCGTCCTGGGCTCTGGGAAGGGCTGTGCGTGTGTGTGTGTGTGTGTCTAGCAATACCTGCAACTACCTAGACACCCCTGGGGCGGGGTGTGACATGGCCCTAGAATTCCTGTGGGGCCCCTCTCCCAGGACACATGACCTTCTTGGTGCCCAGCCCTTGCTGGGACCAGGCCTGCGATTGCAGAGAGGCGCTGGGGCGGGACGGGGCATGGCTTGCACTGGTCCCTGCAGCTCATGCACTGAGAAGCGAGGGGGTGGCCCTACCAGGACAGAAGGAAGGCAGGGTGAGTACAGCCAGGCCAGCTTGGGGGCTGGGGCTGGGGGTGGGGGTGGGGAAGGGGTGCAGGAGGGACAGGAAAAGGCAGGCCAGGGGGCCGGCGTGGGGGTGGGGGGTGGGGGCTGGACCTCCACTGCAGGCACCAGGCCAAGCCCCCTCCAGCAGAGCTGGAACCTGGCTGCAGGGGCTGGAGATGGGGCAACTGGGATGGTTGGGCCGGGACTTCAGTCGGGGACCTCGGGGTGGGCAGGCAGTCCACTCTCGCCCCGGCGGTAGGTCTCCCAGAAGCCCCTGTCCAGCTGCTCCAGCTGGGTGCCCAGGGACAGGTGGCCGGCCAAGTGCATGCGCAGGGTCTCCAGCCACTGCTCCAGCTTCACGAAGGAGGGTCTGGCCATGAGAGGTGGGCGGGCACAGTGAGGGTGGGCCCTGCTCGGCCGGCCTGCCCGACGCAGCCCATGGCCCGGCCCGCCCCTCACCTCTTTTCAGGGTCTAGGTCACAGCAGCGCACGGCGATGGGGAAGAAGCTCGGGGGGCAGTTGGGGGGGCAGTAGCGGTCCAGGAAGCCTCGCACGTTGAGGCCGAAGTCCATGGTGCGGGGCAGGTAGTCGGGGTCGGCGTTCACGCGCCCGATGATCTGCCCGGGCAGGGCCTCCGTGACTCCAGGGGCCCCGCCAGCAGGGCAGCTGACCCCTCGCACCCCTAGGAGACAGTCCCTTCCCAGAGCCACCCCGGCCAGAGGCCCCCTGCAGACCCTCATCTGTAGTTCTTGGGCACAGAAGTGAGGGTGGGGGGTGAGGAGGTTGGGAGGGGGGAGATGGGGAGGCGCACTGGCTGGGGAGGCCACTGGACCCTGCTACCTCCTTTGTCCTCGTCCGGGCCTACCTCACACAGGACGATTCCAAAGGAAAACACATCCACCTTCTCATCATAGCTGCGGCCTGGAGAGAGGGGTGGTGGTGAGGAGAGGGATTGGGGGGTTGGGAAGGGAGAAAGGGGGAGAGAGGGGAAAGCGGGGAGAGGGAGGAGGAGAAGGGGAGAGAGCACATTGGTCAGCACCAGGTAGGCATCTGCCCCTGGGCAGCATGACCAGGACCCCCGGCTGGCTGGGTAGATGCCCAGAGCTATAGGTCAGGGCCAGGAAGCAGGCAGAAGCCAGCACTTCCCCCTGACAACAGCAGGCCTGAGCAACCTTTGAACCTCGGTGACTCAAGTCACAGATCAACTGTATAGCTCCGGGCCTTTTGAGCCTCAGTTTCGTCATCCGACAAATGGGAATACAGCCACCCAACTCACGTGGCTAACCACAGCCAGCCTCACCAGCCTCCCTGAAGGCCGGCTGGGCAAACCTGAGCGCTATTCCTCAGGGCCAGGGCCAGGAGTGTCCTTTCACAGGCTGGCTGGCTATGTGCCTTTGGTCAGTGCTGGTGCAGCGAGGACTGCTGCTCTGCTCCGTCTGGCCTGTCCGTGGTGGGGTGGCTGGCTGTCAACAGCGGGGGAGGCCTTTACATCACACTCTGGGCAGACCTGGGGCCGCTGGGTGACATGGGGTAGGCAGGGGAGGACCTGCGGTCAGCAGCAGGATGGCCCCCAAAGGCAGCCACACCCCGGAGCCACCCAGGTGCCACCCACTAAGAGATGAGTGGGTAGACCCTCGGACTCTCCATGCCCAGCGGTGTGCTGCTTGGCGAGAGGGGAAGGGAGCTCGGATGCCCGTTTCTCGGACGCACCTTGAAAACCTCATGTAGAACGAAAGCACCGGTCATAAAAGGGCAGGTACCGAATATACTCGCGTATCAGCCGAGGTGCTTATCTTCTGCAAAAACCATTAAAACTGTGCTGAAAAACTCGGTTTACACACGAGCAGATACGGCACTTTGTTTCACTTACAGGGACTCTCACCCACGTTCCCTGCCATCAGTGCATTGACTCCTAGCGATCCTATGGGACAGGGGAACGACCCTTGTAGGTTTCTGAGACAAACTGTTTACGGGAGCAGAAAGCCTCCTCTTTCTCTCTCAGAGCAGCTGGCAGTTTTGAACTGCTGACCTTGGGGTTAGCAGCCCAACACAGCACCAGCATGCCACAGGGACTCTCTGGAATAGGTGCATTCCATCGAGCTAAAATTTGGGTGGCTCCCAATGGTGGAGAGAAGGGAGCATGTGCGGGACATTTTGGGGGTGGGGGGTAAAAAACCAGCCCTGTGGTCTGAAAATGGGGAAACTATTGTACAGCGGGAGCTCTGTGACAGAGGGGTTACACGCTGGGCGGAGAGCCGCAAGGTCAGGAGTTTGAAACTACCAGCTGCACCCCTTGGGGGGGAAAGAAAGGGGGGTGGGTTTCTGCTTCCATAAACAGTTATAGTCTTGGAAACTCACACGGGCAGTTGTACTTTGTCCTCTGTCCCCTCGGGTGGCTATGAATCAGCACCGGCAGTGGGTTTCCTTTTCAGGGCATTTTATAGAAAAATTTCCTCAAGATTTAAAATGTAGAAAGCTATCCACACCCCGGTCTTCATTAGTTGTGTTATTACTTTATAAAGCCAGAGGGACTTTGCAGATGTGACTAAGCCCCCTGAGGTGTCTGGAGAAGGACTTAGGTGCCACTATAAGCATCCTTATAGGGTGGCAGAGGGAGTGTGACAGAGGAGGCAGGTCAGAGGGGTGAGGATGGGCGTGGGGAGGCAGGTGAAAATCCCTGAGGATGAGCAGCAGTGGGCCAATGAGCCAAGCAGGGCCGTGGGTCTCTCTCATGCCATCGAGTGGATGCCAACTCACAGCGCCCCTTCCAGGACCGAGCAGAACTGCCTGCCCTGTGGGTTTCTCAGACCGTAACTGCTTACAGGAGTAGAAAGCCTCGTCTTTCTCAAGCGGAGGGGCTGGTGGTTGTGAACCGCTGACTCTGCAGTTGTCTCACCGCCGTTGAGTTGACTCCAACTGGTACTGACCCCACAGGGCAGGGTGGAAGTGACCACAGTGGGTTTTTTAGATTGTGACTGTTTACGGGAGGAGGAGTGGCTGCTGGTTTTGAACTGCTCGCCTCCTGATTCGTAGCCCAATGACTAACCCTCTGGGCCACCGGGGCGCCTCGTGCGGTCAAGAAGCCAACTCATATTCATTATGCCACCAGGGCTCCTCCGGAAGACGGCGGAGGCAAGTAAACAGATTTTTCCCGGAAGCCTCCAGAAAGAGCCGGCACTACCAACGCCTTGACTGCAGCCCACTGAGCCCCGGTTTGGACTCCTGAGCCCCCCGAGCCTGAGAGAATACATGTGTGTCGTTTGAGGGCATCAAGCACGGGGTGAGTTTCACAGCGGCCGTAGGAGCTCGTTCAGGGCCCACATGGGGTGCTGGGGGCCCGCAGGCTGCCCGCTCACCGTTGATCATCTCGGGTGCCATCCAGTAGGGGTTGCCCACCACTGTGTAGCGCTTTTTTCGGTCCGGCTTCTTGAGGCTCCTCAGGTTCTCGGGCTGCGTCTTCTCGTCCACCATGAGCCGGGCCAAGCCGAAGTCCGCCACCACCACGTTCTTGTTCTGGGTGATGACCAAGGTGGGTCACGTGGAGTCAAAGGCATGTGGAGTCATGGCCCTCACAGACAGGGTGCCGCCCCCTCCCCACCTCAGACTGGAGCGGGACAGGGCGGTAACCTGGGGGACTCCGGGCTAGGGAAGGTGCAGAGGGGGGCAGGGAGGTGGCTGCAGGGCGAGCTGCTCACCTCTCGCACCAGGCAGTTGTGGGAGTTCAGGTCCCGGTGGATGATGTTCACGGAGTGGAGGTAGGCCTGGGTGGAGACGGCGGGCGCGGATGTCGGCAGGCAGCCAGGCTGGAGGAGCCAGCCAACCCTGGTCCCCCAGCTCCCCCCTCCCTCAGTTCAGTGTGGGGCTCTTCCATTCTCACTGGACAGCCCCCCTCATTCCTTCAATGCTTCTGAGGACACCATGACTCAAAAGACTCATAAACCCACTGTCATCGATGCCGACCGATGGCCACGACCCTCTAAGGCAGGGCAGAACTGGCCCTGCGGGGTTCCAAGACTGCAGCTCTTTTTTGGGAGGGGAAAGCCCGCTCTTTCTCCCAAGGAGCGGGTGGTGGTTTCGAAATGCTGACCTCACAGTTAACATTTAAGCAGCAGGCCACCAGGGCTCCTACGACTAGAGAAAGCGAGTGCCCACTGGGGGGGCCACTGAGGCGGGCGAGCCAGGGAGGACTTGCTTCTAAGTGGCCGGCCGGCACTGAAGCCTGCTTACCATGCCTGAAGCGATGTCCTTGGCGAAGCTCACCCTCTGACTCCAGGGGTACTGGCTGTCCTGGGAGAGGGGCGGCAGGCCAGGGATGAGCCAATGGGGCCACAGCAGTAGGGGTGGGGATTGTTGGGGAGCGGGCAGGAGGGGCACCTGTCTGGGAGATCCCCACACCCTCCTGCCCCGGTCAATGTCTGCGTGAGGCTCCTGAAGCCATGCTTGGCAGCGGTGAGGAATGGGGGTGCACCCCCGCCTCCTCTCTGCACCCCATTTTTTCTGGCTTGAGACAGATTCTATGCTACTCTGATGCAGATTCATTCCGAGCTGGGGCTTGCAGGGCCTTTGAAGCAGTGCCCACAGGTGCCCACTGAGACCGAGGAGGGAGTCCTGCCCAGGGCACCGAGCAGGGGTGGCGCAGTCTCACAGGGCTCTGCCCTGGGCCTCACCATGCTCTTGATGATGCCCCGCAGGGTGCCCCCCTTGATGTACTCGGTGATGAAGTTGAGCCTCTTGTCTTTGTAGAGCACCCCAATAAACTTGAGTACGTTGGGGTGTTCCAGGCAGCGCATGACTTTCACCTGGAGAGGTACACACAGTCCGGGTGTGGGGTTCCGCCGACACACCCCGGCCACGCCAGGCTCATGTGCTCCCTGGTTCGGGCGGCCCCCATCCCAGCAGACCCAATCCCTTATTTCTCCAAGGGCTGGAGCGCCATGTTCCCCCGCAGCCCTCTGCTACTGCGTCCCGTGGTAGGGCAGGGGGCGGGGACCCTGAGCATCCCCTCGAGATCTGTGGAAAGGGGCTCACCTCTTTGAGGAAGGTCCGTTGGGTCTCCTCGTCAAACCGGATCAGCTCCTTCATCACCATCACCTCGCCCGTCTCCCGGTGTGTCACCTGGGTGGGGGCAGAGGCACGGGGACCCGGTGTGGGAAAGCCTCTTCTCCAAGTCCTCCTGTGGGGAGCCGGGTCCTCACCTTGGACTGCAGGTGGCACCCACAGCTGGCCTGGTGTGCTTCCCTGGCCTTTCCCAGCGGGGGGTGGGGGGTGCAGGGAGGGGCTTAGCAGTTCCACTTTACAGATAAGCTTGTCCACTTGGCCCAAGGCCACCAGCTGGCAGGGCAAAGTGGGGGGGGGGTGCTGGGGATTGGGCCTCTTGTTGCTTTGTCCTGCCAGACTGTCTCTGAGGGGCTCGGCCAGGGCCTCCCTTGGTAAGGGGACTAGGGACAGGGGTTGGGCTCATGTCAGCTTGAACACACACTCTTTGTATGAGCCTGGTTCTTCCACCTGGTCGCAGCCAGGTGACGTCAGATCCAGGGAAGGCCTGAGACTTGAATGACCTCGGCTCAGCTTGGCAACACACCGAGAAGGGAAGCTTTGCTACACTGACCCTCACACTCGGCCTTCCAGGTGATTCCGACTCATAGCAGCCTGGTAGAGTAGAGCTACCACTGTGGGTGTCTGAGACTGTCACTCTTTAGGGGGGAGTGGGGGGGAGAAAGCCGCCCGCAGCGGCAGGTGGATTTGAACAGCTGACCTTGCAGGTGAGCTGCCTAACTTGTAGTCCCTCAAAGCTTTGATTTTCACCACCACTGAGTTGTTTCTGACTCATAGTGACCCTATAGGACAGGGCAGAACTGCCCCTGTGGGTTTCTAAGGCTGTAACTCTTCATGGGAGTAGAAAGCCTTGTTCTTCTCCCGAAGAGCAGCTGGTGGTTTCTGACTGCTGCCCTCGCGGTTAGCAGCCGGCCAGGTAACCACTACGTCACCAGGGCTCTCCAAAGCTTTGATCGGTATTCCCAGATCCAGCTCAAGGTGTTCGGTTTTTGATTAACCTTGGCTAGTATTGGATAATTATAAAAACAAACAAGACGGGTAAAGCCTTAGATGCCCCTCCCACTGGTGAGGGAGGGGGTGTGGCTAGGCAGGCTCACTCATAGCCCCACCCCTCGGGCGAGCCCCAGGCCCTACCTTGATGGCCTGGCCGAAGCAGCCTTTGCCTAGCACTTCCCCATGGATGAGGTCAGACGGCCGGAAGATGCGGTGAGGCCGGCAGACGACGCGGAGGGACTCGGAGCGGCCCAGGTCCTTGCGCTGCCCGGCTGGCGAGCCCAGGGAGCCGGCGCCAGGGGACCGGTCGGTGCTGCAGCTTCTCCTGGGGGGGACACACCATGCTCAGTGCCACCAGGGGGCCAGGCCCTTCTCCTCCCAGCCTGACAATCACAGTCACCCCTCACTCCCTAGCCCTTCATTAGGTCTCTAGCCCTGTCCGGCTCCCCCCAGTCCACCTGAAGCCGGAGATGTCCGTCCTTGGTGGTGCTGGGCCAGACACCGCACAGTGCCCACAAGTCCACACCCGGGCGGCCTGCCACGGGCAGGGGGAGAGGTGCAGGGAGTCAGTCACCCTGTCTAGTGCTGTCACCCAGGAGCAGATGTCAGGGGGGAGGCCTTCTTCCTTGTGCCCCAGGGTTCCCAAG